TATATATTAGGCGATCGAGAGGAGCGAGGCTCTATGAAGCCTGCCTCATCGCCACACCTATATACGTATAACTAGGCGATCGAGAGTAGCGAGGCTCTATGAAGCCTGCCTCATCGCCATATATCTATCTATATATATATGTATACTAGATAATTGAGAGGAGCGAGGCTCTAAGAAGTCTGCCTCGTCGCCATGATAACTTGTACTCTCCACACCTGATACTAACGAAGTTCGAATGTGTCCTGATCAATCCACTTCCAGATGCCTGTTTCCATATAACTAATTCAACCCATTGCTAACTCGCTGATTCTAGTGAGAAAGGATAAGTGAGATCTTGACTAAGAGAGACTTATCAACCTTGAGATTCTGAATTGATCTCTATCATATGATTTCCTTTCTGAATTGAATGAATGGTATTGCTTGAGGTCATTATGGACATGAGGCTCATAATTAACTTTTAAGAGGGAAGAAACATAGTGGAACCGTTGGGACAAACAGGTTGGGAATGAATGTTGTTCATTACCTAGACCAATCAGGCGAGCGAATTGATAGAGAGGGTAGGAATTAGGCAGTAGGTCGACGGTGAGCACCAAACACTGGCTCACAAGGCTAGAATAAATCTTCTAGATCCCAACGTCGAAGAAAAAACGTTAAGATTCTTTCGGACTGTGTTGTGTCTACAGGGTTCAACGCTCTTGGAGAGAACTACGGAAGAGATTCGTAAGGGAACTATAAATTATGTTATCATTGGATAACAGGTCGGTAGAATTCCGACTCAACTTCCACCATGGCTTGATACCCATACCTAAGACAAGACCTAAGAAGGGAACAAATAAATCTTCCCCCTGTATCTATGCCTAAATTGCCCAAATCACACTCAGACGTCTTTGAAAATGTGTGGGGCTAGGGGAAAAGGAGTCAGGGTTAGGAAGGAATGTTGTTTTCAAGGTTTTGGGGTGTAAGAGTGGCTTGCTATGAATGGATTAAAGGTTGACGTTTGTAGCGCATTTTGTGTCTGCACCTGTATGCGTGTATGTAATGCCTTGCATCTGCACAGGTGTTGGACGTTTGTGCTGTCTTTTGAATTTGGGATCGACTGAGATATTCGGGCAAAGGGACACGACAATCGTGAAAGTGAGGTCCACCGCTCAGTCAACTCCCCTGATTTATATCGGTGAAACTCCGACGAAACAGTTTGTCACAGCCCCTCGTTTGTTGTCCTCTTCTCTCTCTCTGCCTACGGTTTACCGGGCAGTTCTGTTTGTGACGATATATATATATATATATACTTATGAATGGGATCGTAGTTGGTTGGATTCTGAAAGGCATTTGCCTAGGCTCCTGTTCGAGAAAATAGGAGACTACAAAGGGGATCGACCCTGACACTCTCACAAGACGAGCAAAGTAAACGTTGAGTCATTGTCATAGTTAGTTAAGCGTGGAAGACTGTCCGAGAAGTCGACCTAAATAGATAGTCGGTCCTGAGAGTTAGCACCTCAGGGCTCGACATACGAGTTAGTCTTAAGGCGTTCTACCGCGCGTATGCCTATGCTACGGCGATCGAGAGGACGCCCTCGGCTGGCCTACCTCTGCGATCGCATGTAAAAGCCTTCGCACGTGGGTCAGTAGCTCAGCAGGGATACGCCCGCCTAAGGGATGGTGACAGCTCCCGCAGGTAGAGGTAATGTTGTACCTCGCGGAACCCTAACCTGTCGTTGGGAGTCGCGAGAGGTATAGCACGCACGCACGGTCGGAGTTGGTATTTCGTAGAGTGACAAAAAGAAACTCCTGCGTGACACGACCGTGAGGTCGAACACCAAAAACTACTTTACGTCTGGGTGTGGGACCGCCGCGCGCGACACCGCAATGATGACCGTTGTAACAGCTTGGTCAATTCCTGAAGTCAATTGTCCATGTCAACCCTCTGCTGACTTCACAAATCGCAGCACTAACCCCCTACTCGTCCATTCCGATCACTCCTCTCAATCCCAGTACCTCCACTTAGCCCAATTGCGGCTGCCTAGCAGCCTGTAACAGTCGAAAACAGCCAGCGGCAGTGTGCAGCGGCATACAACGACCAACAGTGGACAGCAGCTCGCCCACAAACAATGGGAGTAGCAACCGTTCGTGCATAGTATGCAGCAGCAGATTGTGCGGCCAGCAGCAGCCAGCGGCAATACGTAGTGCGGTCAACAGGCACAGCAGCAGTTCGCCAGCGGCAGCATACAGCGGTGGCCAGCAGCAACAGTAGCAGCCCGTGCCCAGATGCAGCAAACAGCAGCATTACGCAGCAGCAACGTGCCTCAGTATGCAGCAGATTGCACAACAAGCTCATCACAATACTAGCGGCAAAACGGTGAACCCCCGCATCTGCAGCTTTTCGGCCTCCCTCCGGCTGTTTTCGTTGGTGGGTATTATGTGCACCGGCCAACCACCTAGCCTGCACCTCTCAGTTGACCTGCTGTAGCTTTATCCGGCAGCAACAACACTGCCAACTGGAGACTAAAAATGCTATCTCCACCACTTGCCTCCCTTCACTCCAACTAGCAGCGAACAGCGTACCGCCGAGCAGGTAAGTATGCAGCTCTCACGACTGGTCCCCTCGCGTGCACTGGCTAGTGGCATAAATGGTACACCAGGCTACCAGCCAACAAATGTGCAATGTCTGTGCTCACGGCACTCCTGTAGTACCCCGGTTTGATGGCTACGAAGCATGCCATCCCACGACTTGCCATCAACTTCTTTTGTTGCTTGATGTCGTTTCCAGCTGATCAGACAAGTGGCCCACCGGCCATATGTAACTGGTAATTCTCACGGCTGGCTCTCTCCTTGCTGTCTTCAACTAGGTTGGTCCTCTTCTTTACAGTGTCCGTGTTTGCTGCCTCTAATCCGACTCGGTTCCAACGTCGGCATGATACAACCGGACTAAGATGTGTCTCGAGCGGCTCAATATGCGAGAGACCCGCCTTCGAGACAAACCTGCTTCCCTCCTTTCCATCAGCTGACCCCTCCTATTACTCCTTAGATGAGTCTGCCCGACGCTCACACCAGATACATGCACTTGGTCAGTCTCACTTAATCAGCGTGGCGGACTTTCCCGTTGAGGTTCGGATCCCTCCTCTACACGCAACACCTTTTCCCGTGGCCCAACGAGCTCTTTAGGGAGAGTTTACATTCACAACGTTGGCAGCCCGGTAATTTGGCACGCAGCCCGTTCTTTCAACTCACCACGCATCGCCTACCCTCCGTCCTTTTCTTGTTAGTGAATTGGGTCGTGGCCACAGGCCAAGTGCATGCAACTTATTGACCCCCGATAACTATCTAAAGGGGAAACTTTCGTTAGTTGTTATCGACGATGAACGGGTCGGAATCTCAGCAGCAAGGGACTTTCTCTCCCCGTTGCGCCTGATCCGCCCATGGCCCTACCCTACAATCGCTTGCTCGTGGGTTGCCCACTCTCCGAGCGCTCGTCCCTTTAGGGCACAACTTCCAAAACAGCGATGGCGTGTTCGACTATGCAAGTCGGCCGTGCGGATGACAGTGTCCGACTGTGCATGCCGACCATGCGGATGACAGCTCGCGTGGTCAATGACGACAGTAGCGAATATCGCTATGACAAAGCTGCAGTTGCTAATGTGTAAAATATGAGAACGAATCTTCCGCTAAAACACGGAAGGGCACACTCTCCTGTCGAACGGTTCCTCCCTTCACGCACGTGACGTGAAATTGCATCCCGCTTCATTCCTCCCCCAGGCGCAGTCCCTATCGGT